ATCACTGAGTGCATCTTTGCCACAGGAGCCTCTTATTCTGATGTAACCAAATCTATCAGTCATTTTTCGTTAGAATAAGAGACTTCTGTTAGCATTATTCAACTAATGGCCTGTCCCTGAAGAAGGGTGAATGAGACTCTTCTAGAGGATTCTGACATGTACTCCTTGCAGGCTGACAAGAAGAGATATGGCCCCACAGTGAGCATCTGGTACTAATATCACTGATGATGTGTTGAAGAATAAATGTTAAAACCACAGTTATATAATCATGATAGATAAATATAGTGACACAAATCTTTGCTCCTGAATGTGAATACGAGATCCACATTCAAACCAAATTAGGAAAAACGGATGCCACTGAAGAATAACAGCTTTGAAAATAACAGTTTTCATGTTCTAACAATACTGGTGATGTTCCTCCCCACATCTGGATTTTTCTTTGACTGTGCTAAAATATACATCACAACTGAATCAAGAAGAATTGGAAAATCTAAACAGACCAATCAGCATTACGGAAAGTGAAACAATCATCAAAAACCTACCAAAAGTAAAAGTCCAGGACTAGATGGCTTCACCAGTGAATTCTACCAAACATTCAAAGAAGATTTAATACCTGTTTTCTTCAAACTCTTCCAAAATATCGAAGAAGAGGCAATACTTCCCAACTCATTTTATAAGGCTAATATTACCCTGATACCAAAACCTGGTAAAGATAACACAAAAAAAGAAAACTACAGACCAATATCTCTCATGAACACAGATGCAAAAATTGTAAATAAGATACTAGCGAACCGAATACAGCAACATATTAAAAAGATTATACATCATGATCAAATAGGCTTCATCTCAGGGGCACAGAGATGGTTCAACATATGCAAATAGATTAATGTGATACACCACATAAACAAATGAAAAAATAAGAATCTTACGATCATATCAATAGATGCGGAAAAAGCCTTCGAAAAGATATAGCATCTATTTATGATCAAAACACTTAACCAAATTGATGTAGAAGGAAAATACCTTAACATAATAAAGGCCATCTATGACAAACCCTCAGCCAACATTATACTTAACGGTGAAAAACTAAAAACCTCTAAGATCAGGAACAAGGCAAGGCTGTCCACTATTGCCACTGTTATTCAATATAACATTGGAGGTCCTAGCAAGTGCAATCAGATAGGAGAAAGATGTAAAAGGCATTCAAATAGGAAATGAAGATGTCAAACTGTCACTATTTGCGGATGATATGATTCTCTACATAGAAAACCCTAAAGACTCCACAAGAACACTACTAGAAACAATAAGCAAATATAGTAAAGTCTCTGGATACAAAATCAACGTTCAAAAATCCATAGCGTTCCTATACTCTAATAATGAAGTGTCAGAAAAAGAAGTGGAAAAATAATTCCTTTTGCAATTGCAACAAAAAGAGTAAAATACCTAGAAATAAATCTAATGAAACATGTGAAAGATCTATATAATGAAAACTATGAGACCCTGTTAAAAGAAACTGAAGAAGATACAAAGAAATGGAAAGATATTTTGTGTTCTTGGATTGGAAGAATCAACATAGTTAAAATGACATTACCTAAACCATTATACAGATTGAAAGCAATCCCCATCAGAATCCCATTGGCATTTTTTAAAAAAGTAGAACAAAAATTCATCAAATTTGTATAGCAGTACAAAAGACCCTGAATCGCCAAAGCCATCCTGAGAAAAAAGAATGAGGCTGGAAGCATCACTCTGCCCGACTTCAAATCACACTAAAGTGACAATAATCAAAATGGCATGGTATTGGCAGCAAAATAGACACACAGACCAGTGGAATAGAATCGAGAGTCCAGAAGTAAACCCATATTTACATGGGCAAATAATTTTCGACAAAAAAAACAAAAACATAACAGTGGTGAAAGGAAAGCCTCTTCAATAAATGGTGCTGGGAAAACTGGAAAGCCACCTGCAAAAGAATGAAACTAGACTGTTGTCAATCGTCACACACCAAAATTAACTCAAAATGGATTAAGGATCTGAATATAAGACCTGAAACAATAAAATGCATAGAAGAAAACATAGGAACTAAATTCATGGACTTTGGACTTAAAGAGGATTTTATGATTTTGACTTCAAAGTCAAGGGAAATAAAAGCAAAAATAAGTGAATGGGACTTCAAACTAAACTAAAAAGCTTCCGTACAGCAAAAGAAACCATAAACAAGGTACAGAGACAACCATCTGAATGGGAGAATATATTTCCAAGCAACACCTCCAATAAGGGCCTAATATCTAAAATATACAAAGAACTTACACAACTCAGTAACAATAACAAAAAAATGATCCAATCAAAAAATGGGTAGAGGACCTGAACAGACACTTCTCCCTAGTGGACATACAAATGGCCAAAAATTTTTGAAAAGATGCTCAACTTCACTAGCTATTAAGGAAATGCAAATCAAAACCACAATGAGATACCATCTCACACCTGTTAGAATAGCTATAATCAACAGGACAAGTAATAACAAATGCTGGAGAGGATGCGGAGAAAAAGGAACCCTCATACACTGCTGGTGGGACTGCAAATTGGTACAGCCACTATGGAAACAATATAGAGGTTCCTCAAAAAAACAAGAATTGATCTACTATATGACCCAGCAATCCGTCTACTGGGTATTTACCCCAAAGACTTGAAAACGTATATCCAAAAAAGATATTTGCACACCGATGTTTATAGCGGCATTATTCACAGTGGCCAGGACATGGAAGCAATCGAAGTGTCCTATGACAGATGATGGATAAAGAAGCTGTGGTACATATATACAATGGAATATTACTCAGCCATAAGAAGAATGAAATAAATACTCCCATTTGCGACAACATGGATGGATCTCATGATAATCATGCTAAGCAAAATAAGTTAGAAAAAGTTGAAAACCACATGATATCACTCATATGTGGGATATAAACCTAAAAGCAACAAACAAACAGGACAAACAGAGCCTCATGGACATGGACTACAGACTAGTGGTTACCAGAGGGTAGGGGGAGTGGGGAGAGGTAGATGGGGTGAAAAGGGTCAAATATGTAGTGATAGAAAGAAATCTAATTATGGGAGGTGAACACAGAATGCAATATATATGTGCCTTACTGTTGAATTGTACACCTGAAATTTACTGGATTTTGTTAACCAATGTCACCATAATAAAAATAAATTAAAAAAAAAGAAGAAGAAAACAAAACAGAGGGGTAAAAAGGACAAATAGTATAAAGGAGAAGAACCAGAAAAGAGCTATAAAATGAACTCTTATCATAGCTGGCATTATGTGTTTCTATGTTGAATATCAAAGTAAACTTTTTTTCAAATGTATTTCAGTAGACGAGTTCAATTTTAAATTTATTTCAGACATTTAAAGCATAATGTTTTTAAAAAATCTCCCTCTACTGGATGTTTATGCTGCTATATGGATACATGGCTATGTTCCTTCTTTACAGCCTTTGTGGCTCTAGAGTCAGACACCCACTCCTACCCCCAAAACACACACACACACACACACACACACACACACACACACACACACACACACACACACACAGTGTGGTTACCGTGGGCCCTTCACGGGGTTGTTGTTGCAGGGCTCCCACTTGCCAGAGCCAACAATGCTGGACTCTATGTAGTACCCAACCAGCTCTTTAGCATCTTTGGATTCCTCCCATGTAACAATTACTGATGTGTCTGTATTTCTGCTTGGGATGATTTTGCCTGGGGCCTTGGGGATATCTGAGAAAAGAAGAAAATTATGATGACACTCAGAGTGATTTTTAAAAATTCATTCTTATCGCATATACACACAACATAAATTTTATACAAGTAATCATGTCAAACATATGGTTGCTTTATTTTATAATATATTTCTTAATGCAGAAATAAAAATTAAATATGTTCATTTGGGAGAATAACGATAAACGAAATACCTGAGAACACACCAATCACTCAAGAAAAAATTGCATTAGCAATACTGTTGAAACTCCTGGAGAAGTTTACTTTCATAACTTCATAATTCACGATAACGATTTTAAAAATCCATCAGTCAAGTATAGTCATCAATTGAATTTATAATATAAAAGAAGGATGTCACCACTTTTACTTCTGAATACATATACATATACATACATATATATATACACATATATATACATACATATTTTTCTTTTTTTTCCCAAGTTTTACATCTTCTTTAATTAGAACTACTAGTCTCCC